TTGCTTTTTTAAAAAAAAATCATATTGCAATGTAGAAAATCAGTATAAATCAGGCAGCTTTTTTAAAAGTATTGTTGAGAGAAGGAAAAGATGATTAGAAATAAATAGATATTGGAGAACATAACAAAATTATAAAGAAAAAAACAGAGAAATACTGATATTATTTCCATGATGTGATCCTGCTGTATTTACTATATTCAGCAGTAAGATATTGACAAACTAAGGCAACAGTCACACAGGCCTCAGCTGAGTCGGTGACTTGTTCCTTAGGAAAAATATGGATTTCCTGGCATGTAGGCAAGTGGGAGCTGGATGTTGCTGGGTGAAATTGGTTGAGATTTGTCTGCAAAACCTCACCAACTACTTAGTGAAACATGGAAAAGTGAACTGGACAAGCTCTGCCTTAAAAGTAAAAGTTGTGCCTTAATACAACAGATTCAATATGATTTAAACAACCGTTTCTTCAAACAGCATCTAAACAAGGAAAAACTGGTGTTTTTGATGGACAGTAGAGCAGATAGTGAAAGCAATTACCTTTCAGGCAGTTAAAAGTAGGAAAAGTTTTCATATTTTAGTGTTGGCTTTATATTTCTATTAGTTTAGTCACTAGCTTTATGTCTTTGTGTCTGGGATCTTAACACTCACGTAATATCTCTGTGATGGATCCAGGCGTTGACTTAAAAACTAACCTGCACACCATTCCTTAACTTGGACTAAATATCCTGCCGTCAAGTAATCCGCTGGTTCCTTACTTCTTCGGTGAATGAAACTGTTATCACGCTGGCTTTCTCTCATCAAATGGAAAGCCATGTTATATGATACCACAGGAGTCAACTGACAATTTAGACATTTATGACACAGAAGTGATGCTCTGTGAGAAATCATTTCTAAAGACCTGACCTTTTCCAAGCTCAGTCCACCTCAGTCTACAAATCTGATATCAATAATCATTAACATTGAGTGGTTTGTTGTGGAAAATTGATGAAACTGTGAAAAATGTGGAGTGGATGTTATTAAGTACTGGAATGCACCAGTAAAGCACCAGTAAAGAGTTGTGAGCTGGGCAGTACCAGACCACAGGTTTTTGTAAACCTGTAAACCAGCTCAGGCTTGGCCTGGCTGCTGGAGTCAGAGCCCAACGGTGAGCAAGATATCCCTCATGTGTATAGACTGATTGTACAATATTACAGCTTTGACCATTTACTTTGCTCTCATGAATGAAATCTGTGCACACTGAATTTCAACCAAATTACTCCAAATGTGAATAATTTAATTTCAGAAATGGAGAAAAAAAACCGGGCAGATGGTCCAGTGCATTGATAAAAGAGATACACAAGAGGAGTTCATTTCACATTTCTAGCATGAATTGCTAGCTAAGCTAGAGCACAGAATCACAGTTTAAATACATAAATCAGCCTCGCTCGCCTCTTAGTTTTGTTTCACCTGTTAGTGTGAGACAACTTAGACTTTTATGCTAGTACAAATCCCCACTGAACTATAATACAGTAATCCTTATTTAATCTTTGAGCTGCACGCAACCTCCACACAACTAAAGGTCTAATCAGCCGGGGTAATTGAAAACACCTGTGTGCCTGTGTGTGTGCGTGTGTGTGTGTGTGTGTGTGTGTGTGTGCGTGTGTGTGTGTGTGTGTGTGTGTGTGTGTGTGTGTGTGTGTGTGTGTGTGTGTGTGTGTGTGTGTGTGTGTGTGTGTGTGTGACCTGTGAAGGTCAGGGATTTGTTTTATGTAAAAAAATCAACTCATAGTCTAGACATTCATTTAACAAAATAATGCCATTTTGATCACTCAAGTTCTCTTTTGTCCTTATGATATTGGTGAGTGTATCTATCATTGTTGATCATGTACATTATTGCCAATTACATAGAAATTTACATCTTGTTTTTTTTAATAATCCACGCTAAAAATATGTGAAAATATTCACAAGCAAGATTCAAAAATAGATAATAAGATGCTGATCATAATGTTTACCATGCTTACCATGTTAGTTTAGTATTTAATGTAATGAATCTCCCCATGGCCCTGATGCCCACAGACAGACCTGTCTGTAGTATGTAATTTAACGAGCACCAATAATGAATACAACATAAGTCTGATAAAACATTAACAGAAGCTAAGGTTGTGTATTTGGCTTGCAGCTGTTTGTAGGAGTCTTCTTCTGCGTTCATTAAACAAATGCATTTTCACTAGCTTCCCTTTAGCATCAGGATTTGTGATGAGAGTCTCCAAAGCAAGAGCGTTGCAGACATTTATGCATGTAGCACAACAGGGCTAACAAGTATTCACATATACTAGTTTAAATGATTTGTTACACACTGATCATTGTCCATCGGAGCAAAAATATTTTTCATGGGATTTTTTCTTCATATTTTTGCTTTAATTGAAGGTCAGTGGGCATATTTACAGGACTAATTATTGCACCATTGTTCTGTGGATGTACGTTTCCAATAATCATACTATATAGGATGAAGCGACCTCTTTGATCCTACACTTGGCTGGAACCAGATCCATGTCAGTTGTCAAATTAGCAAATGAGTCACATTTGTACCAGCCACAGCTGGAAGCTTATGATCAAGATTCAATTAGTGACTATGGTGACCACAGTAAACTGTTAAGCATCTAAGGAGCTAGATATTTTTCACTGGAGTTCATCAGGTGAGACCATCACAGTCTTTACAAGAGAGCCGATACTCGATTTATACCACAAGGATAGAAACACTAATCATGATGCAATGTTTGGGGACCATTCTTAATTTCGTTGTACCTGTGACAATGACAATAAAGTTTCTGATTCTGATTCAAAGGAAATGTTTATGTCTGCTGGGTCTGTAACCTGTAAACTTACATGCTAACAGTAACAACCTTTTTCTTTTTTTTCAGCTTTTTTTCTATCAAGTAGGGGGGAAAAGCAGTTTGTAGTCTTCGGTGAATGCCTTCCTGTTTCTAATGCACACAAATAACACTAAGCAATGACAAAACTTGCATTTATTTTTAAAGAGGTTCAGAGAAGGAAATGCAATCTTGCATGTCCAGATAATGGTTGCAACAAAACTAAAGACTACATCGAATTCATACCTATACATGAACTCTCATACTAATTATTCATGTTAATGGTCAGAATACAGGAAAATTATATAGACTAGTAAATCCTCTGATCAAATCAAAATGCAATGCCTCCTGTGAGAGAAATGTTCCCCAAAGATCAGTACACACTACAACCAAAGAGAAATATCACTTAAGAAATGCAGGGAAACTGTAATCACTTTCATCAACGTTTTGTCCATTTGTGTGATTTACATAAATGTAATGATTCTATTATACTGATCGGTTACACATTCAAATAAACATTCGGGGACATTCACCCATACAAGTTATCAACATCATTCATATAAGAGTTAGCTGTGGGTTATTGCTTTGACAGGTTAATAGTAAGGATCATTAAATTTCAAACCAGAGGTGAAAACTGGAAAAAATGAGAACTATAGTAAGAGCACAGGCCTTGTACAAAGTGGACCAACCAAAGGGTAATGAAAGCAAGTGGATTCACCTTTTGTACTTATTAACATGTGTGATATAGATGTCAATAACTGATGTACAATGACTAATTTGTTATTGTGCCATTAAGTTATTACTATTATTATATAGCTAATTAGTTATTGTACTATTTGTATTATTATGAGTTAACCTCGTTCAAAAGAAAAATCCCTAATACCTGTAAGCATGTGTTCACTCTTTGTTTGCACACAAAAATTCTTGAAATTTTTGGACAAACTTAGTGTATGCTTATGTCTTAAAGTAATAACAAACTGCATCTTTACTATGTTGTGCAGTTCTTGCCAAAGTGGATTTTAATATTAAATGAATTTGGCTTAAAACTGCCTCAACATAACTGATTCTCTCACATAAATATTGAAATTGCTATTACCACATACCTAGAATATCTGTAAAGAACTTTATAGAAGCATGGGCTCAACTAAATTGAACAAAAGAATATTGGAAAAAACGTTGCCGATGAGTCTCAATTTCTGCTGTGATATTTGGACAGTAGGTTCAGAATTTGTCATACACAACATGAAAGAATGGATCCATCCTGTCTTCTATCTATTGTGCAGGCTTCTGCTGCAGGTTTGGTGTGGTGTGGGGGATGTTTTCTTGTCAGACTTTAGGTCCCTTACTACCAGCTGTGCATCACTCAATCGCCACAGCCTACCTGAGGATTGCTGCTGACCATGTCCATCTCTTTCTGATCAGTGCACTGTTCTTCTATAGCTGTTTTTTAAGTATTTCAAGCTAGTTTGTTGTACTTGAAAATCAGTTCATTGTACTTAAACTGTCTCACTTCAGTAGAGGACCTTTAGGATGTGGTGGAACTGGAGATTCGCAACATGGATGTGCTGCCAATAGCAGCAACTGTAGGATGCTATCTAGCAAGGTGGACCTAATAAAAAGTCTTGTAAGACTATATCTCAAATGTCCATAGCCCTTTGTCTTCTTCATGTGATAATTTCCTTGCAATGTTTTTCTTCTTTTCTAAGTACCAAACTAATTCATGACTTTTTATTTTCCAACCCACTAATTCAGAATGTTCAAATACTCATTTTAAACTACTTACTTGTACCCAATTCCATTATGGCTTGGCCAATACAGGAATTTCAAATTTGAGTGGCAGTGCTACAAAGAGGAGAGAAATCACAAAAGGAGAAAATGAATTGTAATGGAAGCTTTTGTAATAATGTTTATGCAGCGTGTTGGATTGCTAAAAGGAAATTGAATTGGGGGAGATAAAGAAGCAGTGCAGACATAAGTGAAAGAACGAGAGGGTGACTGATACAAGGAGAATTTTAATATGATAACCTATAACTGTTTCACAAACACACACTCCTCTGTCATGCCAATAAAGCACATCCTACAGAGAGAGAGGGAGAGAGGGAGAGAGAGAGATGCTCTGGGTTTCATCAGTCACATCTCGCTGTGGGAGGGGGATTGAAGCGGCTGCCTCGGAGCTCTCCGGTAACAGAGACAGTAGACGGCACTGACTCACGCTGACGATCCACGGACAGCACATTTTAGACTCTACCTGACCTGCAGTTGAAGATCCGACAGGAGGGCTATTATGAAGGCATAAGAGAACTTTCATCAGATTTTTTTAGGGGGGGAGGCTGTTTCACCATCTTTCCCGTAAATTCGGACATCAAATAAAGTCAGAATGTACATCAGTGATTTATAAACACCAGATGGCGGTGAGCTGAAAAATCACTAAAACACATCTGAGTGTGTTGGGACGGGACACGGTGTTATTCTTCTCCCCTCCTTGTCTTTTATTACACAGAACTTGTTTTCCACTGGTGGCGGACCTTCTAGGCTATTTTCGTCCTTAATTTTGTCAGACATTATCCGACCCCCTTATTCTCCCTCCTCCACTACCGCCTCGTCCTCCTCCTCCCGTTCCTCCTCCAACCGTCTTCACTTGGTTTAAAAAAACAAAAAGAAAAGAAAAAAGAAAGCCACCAAGGAGACACGACTACACTCTACCCGCCAGCGTTCAAAGGGAATCAAAACAATCTAATCAACATCAGCACAGGACTGGACCCTGACAAGGATGCTACTCCAGCACAGAGGCTACTAGACGGTCCAAACAGCCTTTGCCAATATGTTCAGGCCAGGTAAGGAAAGAGGGCTCCACTTGTTTTTGTTGCTGACGAGGATGTGGAGCGCGCGCAGTCGGTGTGTGCGAGCGATACATTTTTTGTTTGTTCTTTTGAGAAATTAATTTAGTTACATTTTGGGCAAATTGAGTTACAGACGAGGCTCTCGGTGTTTCTCAAACTTCCCAGTCGTCTCTTATCCGCCGTGGTGGCCGCGACTGGGAAGCAGATTAAATATTTATTCACTTCATGTAAAAATTATTCTTAAAATAGCGAACCGCTGCCGCACTGCAGTTTGTAGAACCTGTCTGCACGAGGGTGGCTGGTGCTGTTGCTACGCGCGAGCGAGAAACGGGTAGAGAGCACGTGAGAGTGAAATTGAAAAAAAGTTTACAATTTAACTGGTTTTCTACAAAAGTTTACCCCGTTTTTTGGCGCTTTGTGTTAATCCGCGTGACAGAAGGAGGCGCTCAGCCCGTGGATTTCTACTTGTCGCTGAAGGGAGGGAGACGGTGGGTCTCCCCACGGGTTCCGCGGGCCCAGGGAGACTAAAAACAGGTGTAAAAGTGTCTCCCAGAGAATAGCTGTGCGCTGTTTACTCTGACACTCACACGCTTCCGTGTTACGGTTTGAAAAGGTATTAAGGTTTACCACGATGACCTTGCCTGCTCATGTGTTGATAAAGGAGAGCTCCATTTCCCTCCCGCCACCTCTTTCTCCGTGCGTGCACGCGCATTGACAATTAAAAATCACGACTGACAAATCCAGTGGGGAAAAAAAAAGCAATTTCACAAATTCATATCCGGTATTAAACAACATATCAACCTTTCTGAAATTATTAAATAGTACTGTGATGCAAAGTGTACGGAAAGTACACGCACACTTACACACACACGTTTTAAAGAAGAGTATTTGTGGTGTGGAATGGTGACTCATCTGCCAATTGCCCCCCCAAAACATGTATGCATGTTGGGCTCCAGTGAAAGACAGCTTGTCTGAGAACTGTTTGGAAATGAATGCAGTCCGCGGCTGACTGAACCCCGAGAACATAATGGAAAAACATTCTTTAATAGAGACACTGGATGTCTGTCATTTGTCATTTCCATGCAGCTCAACGCAGAGCGGGGAAACAACACACATACATCCATGCACATCATAATCTATTAGCTCACTTGGTTGGCCTGAGTCAGGGCACAAGCTGGGCGATCTCCTCATTAAGGGTGGGACCTAATGGGCTTGACAGAGGGCTGATTAGTGCTGTCACTGTGTATGTGTGTGAGAGAGAGACAGAGCACAAGAGAGAGGGAGAAAAGAGTTTGCTGGCTAGAGGGAGACAAGCTTTAATTTTAATCTTCCTGTAATTTCAGATGGATAGCATCCACCCACCCACCTACCCGCACACACAGCAAAAAACACACAGTGGTGATGGCTGATGCGCTGCTTTGTATCTCCTCCTACAAATATGTGACTGTCAGTCGCAATAATAAAATCCAGAGTAATTGTGCAGTCTGCCTGAGATACAGTTATCTTTGTCTGTCACCTTTACCCACAATATCTCTCTGCAGTGGGATAAAACAAGAGTGAGAGAGTGAGAAGAAAGAGGATAAGTGTTTTTGTGTAATGAAAACTCCCTCTCTCTTTCTCTCCGTGTCTGTCTCTCATTCTTTCTCTCTGCTTGGCCAACCAGCTCCTGCTGCCAGCTTCAAACTGAGAGCGGCCTGGCAGGCTGATTGGCTACTAGCTTGCTGGTTTGGGTGGCTGCCGAAGCTTTGTTTCCCAGCGTGTTTGAAGCTGGATTTGTCTCCCTTACTTGACTTTGCCTCTGTTACCCAACTTGTCAATTTCCCTATTTATCTACATTTTTTTTTCCTGCAGTAAGATGTTTGCAGGCACTGAACAAACCAAAACAAACCTTAAAATTAGTCACAAAAAGAATAATGGCCACTTAACAAAAAAGACAAAAAAAGGCTTTGCTATGTTCTGCAAAAGTGCGGACCGGTTTTTATTGTCAGCTATTTAATGGATGCTCATGGCTTTTGAATAAAACAAACAATCAGTGAATTATTCATATATCAGATCCTTGTAATAAAATAAAACCCCACAAACTGAAAGACCTTTTTCTCACACGCAGCTAGGAAATATGTTAAATTCTTACATTTTAGTGGGTACATTAGTTAACAGTTGGTATTTTAACTAAAACCTAAAATGATTGGTCAATTATCAGCTACAGATAATATTTTTATCAGCTGATTCATCACATTTTGAAATTTAGACTATTTCAGAACCGGTGCTAATATTGCTAACCAATGGAGACTTGTTGGGATAACCATTTAGCAAATTTGAAGACATATTCTTTTTTTGTTTTCCCTCTGAGAAAAATTGGATTAAAGCACATCGGATTAACCCTCTCAGGTTTAAAACACCATAGGCGGTAGACCTAACCCTGTATTTCTGGAGAAAGGCAAATTCATTACTCTGGGAACTCTAGGGTTAGAGTTAGGGCTAGGATACTTGTAGATGATGACTTAGACCCCAAAGGGTTAAGTGTTTGGCCACCTAATAAGCAATTATACCCATAAAGCACAGGTAAGCCCATTCAATGTTTAGCACAGCTAAGCACAAGTAAGTACTTTAGGAAGCAATTTGTATCTCAAGTCCTGAATATCAGGGGGCCAGCCATATAATTTGGCACTAAAATGTTCACCAATTTGAAAACATTCTGTTGAAGAAAGAAACTTTCATGCTGTTTTCTTAAAAAAACAAAACAAAAAAAACAACCTGCCAACATTTACAGTCAGTGAGCTGTAGAAGAAAATTCCTGCTGGTGGCTTAACTGGAGTGAGAAATACATATAAATGTTTAGTAGGTGTAGAGCACAGTTTGCCAAACAGTGCAGTTTCAAGAATTGTTGTTAGCCCATCAGAAGCTATTATTTTCTGTTAAATGAAACCTCTTTGCTGCACCTTGGTGCTAGCTATGCCATTATACCAGAAACCTTACAGCCCAAAATCAATATTAGTAGAATTACACAACTCTCAAAACTGATTTGACATGACAATAAAATAAAAAATCATTAAATCATTAAATCATTAAAAATTAATTTAAAGTCACTGACCTGGTGTGGGCAGAAGATTTATTTAAAAGGCTGGATTATACTTTGTTTAAGGGACACAGACGTTAAATACATTACGATGGCTTAGACATTTAAATAATGTTAGCCACTTCTAACGTTCGGTAATGCTAGCTTCCTCAAACAAAATAATACCGTGTAATTCAGGATAACATAAGAAGGAATTGGAAGGATTTCCCCATTGGTGTTGTTTGGGTAACCACTTAGCAAATCCTAAGACATATTCTTTTCTTTATCCTTTGAGAAAAAATGGATTAAGCACATCTGATTAACCCTATGAGGGTTAAGACATCACTGGCAGTAGCCCTAACTCTGTATTTCTGGAGAAAGGCAAAATGATATCATTTGCATTATTTGCATTTTGCCTTTTGTGAATCAGTATAATCCATTGGTCATTTCCCTTAAATCCAAAGTACTTCCACATGCTTACTGACTTTCTTAGCAACGAGCTACTGCAGCTGCACTAGCTGCCGTGTCAATCATGTAGTATTTGCTGTCTTTGTGGGCAGTCTTCTTTTTCTAAATATGTGAGCATGGACAAAAACATGCCCACGTTGCCTATGGTACGAAAAACCAAACAAACAATACTGTTGTGTTCCTACTTGGTACCACGAAAAGATGAGAGACTTGCATAAGTAACTATTAAAAGTACTTTCTTGGAAGTACCCAGTGATGTACAGACAACTATCAGTCATAGACAGAAAAAAACTACAAACGTTCCCCAACAAATTTTCATGAGCATCTTCTTTTTATGATTTCTGTGCTGATTTATTCCCATTTTTTCCAAGTGCACATCAAACATGCTCATTAATGTGTGTAACATTACTCTGCGTGAGATTTAAATGAGTAATGGTTCAGAGGAGTAAACATGTCGATGCGCTCCTTTCACCTGATGCAATATCTTTGCCTCACGTGCCTTCCTCAGTGGCCTTCTTCCTACGCAACTCTTGAAGACTAAAAGTTGCTGCCTGGATTGGATGGAAAAGTTCAATCTATATGGAAGAGAGCACGGTCGTGCAGCTCCTACTCGAGCTGTGAACTTCAGCCTTTAAAAACATGACGCCGCGTCTTCCTTGCTTCTCATCACTTTCAATACGATTTCATCCTCTCACTTTTCGTCATCATTCCTGCCGTTGGATACACCCTGTGATCCAGAAAGAAAAAAATTAGCAGTATTTGAAATACTGAAATGTTCTGTGTTACTACATTCAGCCATGATAATCTATAACGAACGTCAGCTCTGTACTGAATTTCACTGATCAATACCAATATATGATAGTCAAAGGAGCTTGCAAAGAAAAGCGTCTGGACTTCTTTAAGTTGCTTGAAGGCGTTGAAAGACGTTGGAACTTAAAGAAGTCCAGACGCTTTTCTTTGCAAGCTCCTTTGACTACGATGACCTGGATGACTGAGAACCTTCACAGACATACCAATATATGATGTTAAAATTGCAAGTCACTGTTCATACAGGCTATAGCCTCAGACTCGCTCCAGGCTCTCTCTGGGCCCCAGTGTGAATAAAGCCCTCATTTGATTAGCAGACTTTTTAGCAGCGTTATGAAATTTAAGTCATTCCTGATTAAACCTCCAGTTTTTATTTGCATACTATACTACGGATTGCTGACCGTCATTTGTCACCTCCGAGCCTGCTTTCTCTTCGGATAAAGCACAGTATCATGAAGTACATCTGATGGCATTGTGACAAAAGACTAATGCCACATCCTTACTTTCTCTGTGAGATGACAGTTGCACTGGCACACATACATTTTGCCTGCAGGCCACTGTCAAGTCCACAGTCACACAATTAGAAGCTGCTGTTGCCCGTTTGCTTTGTTATGCATGCGTGTGTGTGTGTTTTGTAGATGAGTGCTGTGGTAGATGATAATAA